AGACTGAGTGCTACAAGCTGTGGGATACAAACAAGACCACCCTCTGGAAAGAAAACATGAAGCCATAGTACTGTGCCCTGAAAAGTAGAGCCAAACTTCTCGAGAGTGCTCATGAAGACAGAAGTGTCTCCACCTGTCCCCTTCAGGAAAACTTTCCCTTCAGGCAAGGTTAGAAGAGCGGCCGGCACACATGGTGGCCCAGAAGGAGGAAGCACAGGAAACGTGCCGTGCCATGCCGCCGTGGGGAAGGAGATCCATCTGCACACAGAACCCGGTCAGCACTGTTCCACGCAAGCACACAGACTGAGAGGAGTCAGACATTACAATCCCTTCAGCCAGAAGGAAAAGCTCTGGTTGGAGTCAGAGCAGATCTACCGAGGCCTTGGAGGGCCCAGAGAATAGGAGCCAAGAGTAGGGTTTGTTAGACATTATGGGGAATCTCGCACCAACAAGCATAACGATGAAAACTGCTCCAAATATCCTCAGCTCTGTCCTCCCTGGTAACCCTTTCCCCACCCAGAGAACGATCCCCTCAGGCTGTGAATCCAGAGAAAGAACCAAAACCAACCTCAGGTCCTATGAAGGACCATTGAAATAAAGCGAATTATCTCCAGAGGAATGGATTTTCCCACACCACGAGGCAGAGGAGGCCCAGCCTGCTGTGACCAGAGGCTGCCTTAACATTTCAGACATTCCCAAGCCAGGGTGACATCCCTACTGCTCACTCCTCAGAGGAGGAATCCTCCTCCAGTCAGCCCTGGGTCCCAGCATCCCCTTTTGTATTAAGTTGGCTGATCCAAGCCAACTATCGAGACAGTGTCTCCTAGACCCAACAAAGTTTATAGCATTCCAATAATATGACAGCCAAAATAAGATCTGCACGCAGACCACACGGGTCGACATGCCATCGTGGGTGGGGAAATTTTCACAAGGCCCCACCCCTTGATAAAGAGCAATAGGCAGGAAAGCACCAGCTTCTGGGAGAGGGAGAATCAGTTTTCTCCAGGGATAAGCTCCTTCACAGAATATTCAGTATCAAGTGAACAGCCCTAAGCACATGTGCCTTAAACACTAAATAGACTCTGTAGACTATCTATTATATAGATTATATCTATATAATAACGATTATAGAAGAGGTCATGAACTTGAGAGAGAGTGGGAACATGGGAGGAGGAGGAATAAAAGTAATGTAAGGATCATGCTCATATGTGAACTTCTCAAAATAAAAAAATATAAGAAGTCTCTGCTGTCACAGTCCCTTACACTGTGAGCTGCTTTGGAGCTGGGCACCGTGAGTTTTGTGCAAGAGCACACATGCAGCTCCTGCAGCCTGCAAAGCACCTCATTTCATTTCCTTCGGTCCTTACCCAGGTCTTGACGACCAGCAGCTAAACATGCACATGTTCGCTTGCTTTCCTTTTACCCTTAATGATTCAGCGATGTAACATGATGCAATCCAGATTTAAAGCCTGCATCCTGGCGCTTTCTGGCGTGTGTCTACATCTGTGAGGCCATCGCTACAGTGGGGACAAGAGTCGCCCTCCCTCTAAGAGGTCAGTGGAGCCCACTTTGGGACTCCTCCCTTCCTTCCCTCCCTCACCCCCAGGCCACTGCTGACATGTTTTCTGCTGCTGTAGACTGGCATTTTTGAGGTTTGGTATTCATGCAGTTATTCCTATATGTTCCTATCTGGCTCCCTTGACTCAGCCTATTTCCTTACCATAGATGACAACACAGAGGCTTGATGAGATACAGCAAGCAGTTAATGATCCCAAAGCAGTCTAGACAATCCAGGTGTCCTGGCTCAGAGCCCAGCAAGCCGCCTGCCACTCATACACTCCCCTTGAACGTTCCATCACCAGACACTCACTGGGCTCTTAGGTAGGCTGACTCCTGTGAAATCAGACGTGGCCCCTGCCCTCGGGAATTTGCAATGACACTTTCCTGTATCTGTTCACCCACTTAATGGAGAACACTCACCAAATAATCACTCGGTCAGGCTGCATTGTTGGAAGTGATGCTGTCCGTCCTGGTCTGCTGCAGGTGGCCTTCCAAGGTAAATTCTGGCCTTCAAGAACATGGAAAGAACAGGAGGAATGCCCTGTGAGACAAGGCTTAAACCTTGGGCACTCGTAAGAGAGTTGAGATGCTAAGGTTGAGCCTGTGGGTATTGTCATTCCACATGGAGAGCCCAAGAATACTCCATGCAGCAGGCAGAGCACAGGGAGGCAGCTGAAGCTGGGCCGGCCAGTGTAGGCTCTGTGGCTAAGGCGGGTTCTAGACTGTCTCCACACGAGCAGGGAAGGTAACAAAGGAGGGGAAAGTGAACAGTGTAGAGACGATGAGGCTCCTTTTGCATTTCCTCACGTAAGCCGTGTTTCTTCCCAGGAGTTTGCTGTATTGGCGAGGAAGGGAGGAAGAAAGGGAGGAGGGTAGTTACCTACATTTAAAGATAACCTACAACTTACAAAGTGATTTCGCTGCCACACCCTATGCAATTTGGCAATATAATCTTTTTTGGTTTTACCTTTTTTTTTTTTAGGGTGGGAGTTCGCACCTGTAAATTCAAGTGCACAGGCCCCATGCCAGAGGGCAGAGGGGACTCCTTGGGTCCTGCTTTACCTGTCTCTGCCCTATTCCCTTGAGACAGGATCACCACTGAACATAGAGATCACTTCAGTCAGGCTGGTTGGTCAGCAAGACCCAGAAAGCAGAAAGTACTCTCCCTCTCTTCTCTCTCTCTCTCTCTCTCTCTCTCTCTCTCACACACACACACACACACACACACACTCACATACACAAACACCCACACACACACAGAACCAAGATTAGATAAGGGTATGACCACACCAGTTTATACAAGGGTCTAACTAGAGGTCTACTTTATGTGGTGTGGGAAAATCCATTCTGGAGATAATTTACTTTATTTCAATGCTCATTCATAGGAACATCTGCACACTGAACGTAGTCAGCACTGTCCCATGCAAGCACACAGATTGAGAGGGGTCAGACATTACAATCCCTTCAGCCAGAAGGAAAAGCTCTGCTTGGAGTCAGAACAGTTCTACTAAGGCCTTGGAGGGCCCAGGTAATAGGAGCCAAGACTACTGTTTGTTAGACATCATGGGGAATCTCACACCAACAAGCATAACAGTAAAAACAGCTCCAAATATCCTCAGCTCTGCCCTCCCTGGGGACCCTTTCCCCACCCAGAAAACGATCCCCCTCGGGCTGTGAATGCAGAGAAAGAACCAAAACCAATCTCAAAAGCTATACTGAGGGAAAAGGGAGACAGCTCATAGGAGAGCTTGTTGTGCACACATGAGTTGGAATTATTGCTCTTCTCACCCATTTCATAGATCAGAAAACTAAGTCCTAAAAGTCAGTAGCTTATTTTAAAAATATACAACCCCTAAGTAGTGGAACAAAGCTCCAAGCCAAGTCCCTTTCACCCACACAGCTAACACGTTAGGGTCGCACGTAGAGGCCCAGGGTTTAAGGAGCCCGTCAATTGACTCTGTTCTCAGAAGTCTTACACCCACTTCCATCCTGTCTTCCAGCTATCCTGCCCTCACTGTGCTTTATGCAGGGTGCCTGCATGGTTATAACTTCTGCAGTCTATATACAAGTGGTAGCTCATTGACATGAGCAAGCCAGCAAAGGCCACACATGTGTAAGAGGCAGAACAAGTACTCGGCATCCTGGACATTCACGGACACGAACTGCAAAGGGGGAGGGCACCAAAGGGCACTAATATCCCGGAATTCCATAAGCCTAGCTCCCCACACTCCAGCCCCCCGTGGGGTAGTGGAGATAACTCTGGGCCAAGAGACCACAGAGCTCACAGGACTCGGCATCACTAGCTACAGGGCTGTAGGAAGTTACTTGCCCCTGGGAGACAATGGAGCTGTCTTCTAACCTTCTCACTGTTGCCATCCAGTGGGACAAGGGAATTTAAAATCACTTTGAAGAAACCATAGCACTGTACACAGCAGGGACTCCCTGTCCCCTGTAATGTAACTACTCCAAGACCATGGTCACAACAGATGCCACTTCAGGCTGGGTCACTTGCCTCTCCCTCCACACTCACTTTAGCCTGACTGGCTATAATGCTCTTCGATAAAAACCAAAGCTATAAGGAACCTGAAGAATGTTCATCTATGTTCATGCATATCCAAGCCTTGTACATTTGTCCTACCCCAACCCCAAATGTCCCTTACACACAGGGGGTGAGGAAGGGAGAAAGAAAGAGAGATGATTATTTATTTGCTTTCCTTTAAAAATTATTCACCTTAGACTAAAGCCAAAAACACTTCCACTGGCTAGTGATTTCTAAATTTCCTGCAATGTGGAAAAGTTGACAAACGCAGCAATAGCGAAAATATAATCATCCTGCTGCCAAGCATGTCACGTACCTTCACATTAGCTATACCCCCTACTCCCTCCTTCCAGCCGAGGGGCTCAAGGACACGGTGGATTGGCCACCCTTCCTCCATCATCTAAATCTTCCTAATGGAATCCCAGACCTCACCGCTTGGTCCAAGAGGCAGTGATGGAGTTGACAGAAAAGAGCAGAGCTCTGGCTATGTTGAGAAGATGTAAACAAAAGGATTTATAAAGGACTGACTGTTGGATGCGTAAGAGAAGAGTTAAGAATGGCAATGGGTAAGTGCAAGGTAGAATGATGGACTTCACATAAATACAAAATTACACTTTTTATTATCAGGAATGGGTAGCCTTCCCTTTATGCTAACCTCCTTTGTGCTACCATGTTCGAGGACCCTACTGTTCTGGAAACACTTTGCTCTTCATAATTTTTATTAGTAGTTTGTACATACAAAAGTAATATGATGAAGTGAATGTTGTTGAAAACCCACAGCGTTCCTTCTCAAGCCAAGGATAAATCATTGTTTAATGCACTGGTGTATCTTGCTTCAGTAGTCAAGAACCAGCTGTATCCTTCTCCGACTCCCACATAATAAACCTCTCCTTCCCCACAGGTTCCAGCAGGCAGCAAAGACTGGGGGCCTCCATGCTGCTTTCCTGACTCCCTAGAATGGATGTGTGTGGTTGGAAAGAAATGGAGGTTGCTCTGGTCAATTTTGATAACGCAGATGAAATCCATGAAGAGCCAGGCTATGCCACAGACTTTGACCCAAAAGGCCGACCTAGTAGCAGTCCCTTTCCCAGCTGGAGAGTTCTCATCAGTGACGGCACCAACCTTGAAACTGCCTTCTCCAAGGTTCCAGGAGAGTTCGTGGATCCCCCAGGGCCTGAGCCAGTGGTCTTGAATGAAGGAAACCAAAGGGTGATCATTAATATTGCTGGGCTGAGGTTTGAGACTCAGCTCAGAACTCTCAATCAATTCCCAGAGACACTCCTGGGAGACCGGGAGAAAAGGATGCAATTTTTTGACTCCATGAGAAACGAATACTTCTTTGATAGAAACCGACCTAGTTTTGATGGAATCTTATACTATTACCAGTCTGGTGGGAAAATAAGGCGGCCAGCCAATGTGCCCATCGATGTTTTCGCCGATGAGATCTCCTTTTACGAATTGGGGAGCGAGGCCATGGACCAGTTCCGGGAGGATGAAGGCTTCATCAAGGACCCTGAAACGCTGCTACCGACCAATGATTTCCACCGGCAGTTCTGGCTTCTCTTCGAGTACCCCGAGAGCTCTAGTGCCGCGCGAGGCGTGGCTGTGGTCTCGGTGTTGGTCGTCGTCATCTCTATCACCATCTTCTGCCTGGAAACACTCCCAGAGTTCCGAGAGGACAGGGAGCTGAAGGTAGTCAGGGACCCCAGTATCAACACGAACAAAACGGGCCTCTCCCAGACCATGTTCACCGACCCTTTCTTCATGATAGAGTCCACCTGCATCGTGTGGTTCACCTTCGAGCTGGTGCTCCGGTTTGTGGTCTGCCCCAGCAAGACAGACTTCTTCAAGAATATCATGAACATCATCGACATCATCTCCATCATCCCCTACTTCGCAACCCTCATCACAGAGCTGGTCCAGGAGACAGAGCCGAGTGCCCAACAGAACATGTCCCTGGCCATCCTGAGGATCATCCGCCTAGTAAGGGTCTTCCGCATCTTCAAGCTCTCCCGCCACTCTAAGGGGCTGCAGATCCTGGGGCAGACGCTGAAGGCTTCCATGCGGGAGCTGGGGCTGCTCATCTTCTTCCTCTTTATAGGGGTCATCCTCTTCTCCAGCGCCATCTACTTTGCTGAAGTGGATGAACCGGAATCCCATTTCTCTAGCATTCCTGATGGCTTCTGGTGGGCTGTGGTCACCATGACAACTGTAGGTTATGGTGACATGTGCCCAATCACCCCAGGAGGGAAGATTGTGGGTACTCTGTGTGCCATTGCCGGCGTCCTCACCATTGCCCTCCCTGTACCTGTCATTGTCTCCAATTTCAACTACTTCTATCACCGCGAGACCGAGAATGAGGAGAAGCAAAACATCCCAGGAGAAATTGACAGAATCCTAAACAATGTGGGCTCCCCAATGGGGAGTACCGACTCTCTTAACAAGACCAATGGCAGCTGTTCCACAGAGAAGTCCAGGAAGTGACCGACCCGGGAGTCTCTGAATCTCTGTCTCTCTCCCTCCTCTCTGTTTTCCCCAAGATGAAAATTATGCTTTGTGGCCAACAGGCCATCTCTGACTGTGTGAGCTGCTTTAATAAATCCATATTTCTGTTCTACTTCCAGGGCTGCTGCTTCTCAACCCATTACAAGATTTCTCCTCCTTTCCTGTGGAAGTTGTAGTTCAGTTCCTGCACTAGAACTATGGATATTACCTATTAGTATGGAAGTGTAGAAGCCAAGCCTGTCCAGTCCTAGCAAATCAGAATCTACTTTTTAACATAATGATTAAAAAGTATGGAGTTGTTCAGTCTTCCTTAGAATAATGCATATCAAAATATCAGAACTGGACAGAGAAGGTGAGTAAAATGCTTGCTGCATGCAGAGGAGGTGAATTTGAATCCTCAGCATGTACATAAAGGCCAGGCAGATGTGGCCTAGCGATACCATCACTAAGGAGACAGAGACAGGAAATCCCAGGCACAAACTGGCTAGCTAGATTGGCCTACTTGGCAAGTTTCAGTTTTAATGGGAGACCTTGCCTCAAAACATAGGAAGAAGGGTGTTGAAGAAGACACCTGACGTCAGGCTTTCACATGTACCTGCACATAAATGGCTAGCCACATATATATGAACTTGCATGCACATATATACATAGACCACATATACCAATAAGAGAATAAAGAGAAATCTGAATAAGTAAAGTGAAAGGCCAGAGCTGTAGCAATGAATTGTTTAGGAGCAATGCCTGCTTAGCATAACCAAGTCTATCCACTGGCATCAGGTCAACCTGTAGAGCATGTTTGAAGATTGCCCCTGCTGTCAGCCTGTCTGGCAGGAATGAGTATATTCTGAACAGGCAGTTGTGCCCCTCCCTTTGGCTAGCAGACTCTTCAGAGTACTTCAGGGAACTAGACTCTCACCCCAGGAGTCTCACGTCAGGAAAAGGAAAATGCTGAACCAGTCAGAGGGAGAATTGGTCCCCAGAAAGAGATTTACAACTTGCCAAACTATCTTGTAGGAGAGACTGGAGCAGAGACAGTGATAGGTCAATGACCATCAGGACTGCACCTTAGCTGAGATTGCTGAGCCATATGAACTGCTGGCCCTCTACTTAAGTCTAAACCCCATGCCGGGACCCCAAAGACTGGCTCGGATAGTCACTGTATGTCTTTCTTCACCTTCCCAACGTAGCCACATTATAGAAATCTTTTTCTGCAAAACCACAATTCTTACCTCAAAGGGGATAAGAATTTGTTCCAGAGCCAAACATGAGTGACCATGGTTTGAAAGCACAGATTCGGGTTATCCCAAATTTCATATTCCAACATGACAGCAGTTTCATGAAGCTGTATCACAGTAGAACAGAGAAAATCACAAATCAAGACATTTCCGAACATGTTGGTGGACATATCATGTAGGGCGTTCCAACAAAGATAGGACATGTCTGCCACAGGCCTTAGACTTATTTGAGGATACTCTTAGACTTTGACTACAGAAACCAGTAGTCCATAAAATCATGACCTGAATGTCATCTCTGGAACCTAGAAGGCAGGCAGAGAGAACCACCCATGATGTTATCCTTTGACCTCCATTTGAGCACCATGGCCTGTACACCCACACATACCCACACACACCCATACAAATGTATACACACACCCATAACCCAATAAATATATTAGTTACTTTTCTATGGCTATAATAAAACACCATGACCAAAGCAACCTATAAAGGATGCGTGTGGCTGGGTTTACAGTTCCAGAAGATGACAGTCTGGTGGCAGAGTTAAAGCATGGCAGTCGGTGGGCGGAGCAGCAGCTGAGAGCTCACATCTGGATCCCCAAGCAGGAGGTAGAGAGTTAACTCAAAAGAGTCTTCTGAAAAACTTCAAATTGCTTCCTCCAGTAAAGTCACACCTCCTAATCCTTCCCAAACAACCACCAACTGGGGATCAAATATTCGAGACTTATGGGGTACATTACATCTGAACCACCATAATAAATAAATGTTAAAAGAAAAAAAAAAGTTTTCCCTTGATAATCACAAGCATGTGAGGTCAGACCCAGGAGTAAGCAAGGAATGGTTATTGAGGGTGCTAAAGACAAATTGTGATCCGGCTGTGGGCCTGCAACACTACAGCCTTACACAACCCCTGGAGTATCAATCTGCTCATTGGCTTTGCAGGAGGTTCAGTGAAAGGCTTGGTTTCTCCTGGGAACTTTCGTTCACACTCCATTAACTTGGCTTTTTAAATTGGCTTATTAAGGATGGAGGGTGGAACCCAGCTGTTGAGGTGGCCAAAACACAGGCTGATTCTGGGGTGTAACTCCCATGTTACAGATGAGCAAACCAACGTAGTCTAAGGAGACACAGGAACAAGGGCAGTTCATTTCCTACCCTGAGGCTCGAGTTCTTTCCCTCAGTGGAGAGGGTTTGGGCAGGTTGGGTGAAGCATGAAAGGAGTTTGAAATTGATTTTCAACCCTCTGTCCAGGGACACTTGTCCCTAAACTCCTCCCAACCCATGAGGGTGTTACATGCCCTGCCCTCTTGGTTCTCAACACTTTCCTTGGACAGTGGACAGGTGGTGTGGTTTCGTGTGTGTCTGTGTGTGTGCACGCACGTGTGCAGAGAACAGCTCCAGGAACATAGACAGGTCTGCCGCCTCAGGGTTCATCCCCCTTAGGATGGCTAGGAATTGGCCAGCAGCCTATGAAGCAGCTTGGAGAGAAAAAAACAGGAGTGTGTCCAGAGGCCAGCCTGATCAAAGGATGACCGTTGGGTCAGTCTGGCCTGAATTAAAACACGGCCTTCCTGAAAGAGAAGATCGATCAGCCCACCAAGCTCCCAGGACAAGAGAAACAAAACCCTAAAAGACAGGGAAGGAAGCCTGTACTCTGTCCCTCTCAACTGTCCCAGTACCCACACTCTAACCATCTAATAAACGTAAACCAGTGCCAGTGCTATACCCCTGGGCCCTCGATGACCACACAGTTCCCCCGGATATGGCAGATTCTTCAGAAAACAGAACCAAAGGCGGGCAGGTAGGTGGCTATGAAGATCTGCACATAAATATTTGCATATGGAAGCTCACACACACCTGCAACGTTCTATATGCAGTGATCCCTCTGTGCATGACAGACACCTTTCAAGACTTCTAGGAAGGCTGGTAGCCTTCAGGATGAGCAGGCAAGCTGGGAACGCAAGAGAACTGGCTGCACAGTTCCGGTTTGGAGGCTGGCAGGTTCAAAACCCAAACAGAGCCCTCAGAAGCTTCTTTGTGCACTGGATTACAGTTAACACAGGAACTCACAAGTGGACGAAATGCAAGAAAGAAGCATCTGTGGAGTACCTAGGCATCTGTATCTCCCGCCTGTCCCACAAGGCTCAAGGAGCATCTCCGAAGATGGGGATAGTTCTAAGAGTCAAATAGGACGAAGGTGAAGCAGTGTCTCCTGGGCATGGCAGGATGGCTGTACAACTGAACTCACAGTGGCTGACTGTCCAAGATCTCACCAATCGACATCCCAAGGTCGAGTGGGGAGACCCTCTTGAGCCCCCACTCTAGCTGAAACACTACTGGTGGCTGCTAGAGATTGGGGTCCGCTTACTTTGGGGGTGTGGCCACTAATAAGTTGACTGTGCTCCAGTGGATGTCTCCACACCCATTCATATATGAGCAGCCCAATTTTGATTCAGTGGGGGATATTCATAGATGATAGGTAGCTAGACAGACAGATAATAGCTAGATAGATGATAGATGGATAGATAGACTGACAGATAGACAAAAAAGAAGGATCTGGAAAGATGACTCAATGTTTAAGAGAGCTTACTGCTCTGGCAGAGGACCAGAATTCAGTTCCCGGTTCCCAGGTCTGGAGTTCACAATCCCCTGCAACTCCAATCCTAGAGATCCACTGCCCTCTTCTGGCCTCTGTGGGTACTGCATACATATGCACAGGCACACACACTACACATACACACACACACACACACACACACACACACACGTGTAATTTTAAACATTTTGAACATCTAAAGGGTTCTGAGTAGAAAATCCTCTAGACTAGAAATCAAAGACCTGTCTGGATTCTTATTAATTAGGTAATTTTGTCCTCAATGGACTAGTTTCTTTTAATGGAAAATAGGAATCTAAATTTAATGAGGGAGTGCTCAAGAGATGGCTTAGCAGTTAAGAGCATTTCATTGATTGCTCTATCAGAGACTCTAAGTTTGAGTCCCAGCACCTACTGGGGGGCTCACAACCCCCCTGAAACTCTAGTTTCAGGGGCTCTGGCTCTCTTCTTGTCTCTGCAGGCACGAAGTATGTGTGTGGTACACAGACACACATTCAGGCACATACCCATACACATAAATAAAATAAAATAAAATAAAATAAAATAAAATAAAATAAAATGAAGAATGATTTTTTTAAAAAAGAAACTGTCTCACGGTGAAGGTTTCTCCTCACTCTAGCCCCACCCTCCCCGGGGAGCAGGACAGGAAGTCCTCCTTATCCTCCCTCACTCAGTGGCCAGGAGTGTTCCACGAGGTCTTCCACAGGCAAAGAACTTGTTCTTTCTTTTATCTTGCTTTTCCTTTCTCCCCACCCCAAGCCCCAGCACCTCTGAGTACAAGAGCTTGGGATCTCATACATGGTAGGCAAATGTTTTTATCACTGAGTTACAGCCCAGCCCTCCTTTCCCTTTGTATCTTGAGACAAGGCCTAATTAAATTGTCCAGACTGGTTTTGCACTAACTTTTGTTGCCTGCGTAGGTCTTGAATCTACTATCATCTTAGCCCAGCCTCCCGAGAACACAGGTCTGTGCCACTAGGCCCATGTGTGAGCTCCTGACTCTGATCCATACACTCTATGTCTACAAACTTGCTTCTAAATATAAAAAGTGGCTTGAATTACACTTGTCTCACCAATCTATAGGGAGGGCTCAACATAGTGAGTTGTTACTCTAGAAATGTTTTCCTTTGGAACTGATTAACAGTTACCAAATGAACTTGATTTGTAATCCTAGTCAGATCCAGACCTCAGCAGGAGGAAACTGAGTCTAAGGACAAAATAAAATTGCTTCATGGACTTGGGAGTTGTGTAAGGCAA